GCTCTCACATGGGAGGTTGGTTGTATATTAACTTACAAACGCAGGCAGAAGGGGGGAGGAGCACCCCCCTGGCCCAGACAGCGACAGAGTCTGAGAAGGGAAGGAGAAACAGCTACTACCCCCATGGCCAAGATCCAGTGGGCAAGAAAACTCCCTCTTGGATCAATTCTTCATGTTCATACCACTGTTCACCCAGCCAATGACAAATACACCTTCAAAGAAATGGAGGGGACTGTTGGGAGAAAAGGTTTGGGACCCTTCTCCAGGTTTAACCCCCCGTAAACGCCACCTTTTCTTAGCATGGAGCTCCCCATCCTAAAGCTGCACTCTCAGCCCAACTCCTGGACTTCCTTTCCCTTCCAGATTTGTCTCTGGCACATCTCCGTGCCAGCGGGCCATGTGATCCAACTGCATTTCTACAACTTCAGCCTTGAGTCGCAAGAGGACTGCAATTTCGACTTTGTGGAAGTGTACGACAGCGCGGCCATGGGGGCAAGCAGCATCATGGGTCGGTAAGGTGGCATCGGGCACACCAACCCCCGCATGGAACAATGAGGATGGGCACACTCACTCATAAGGTGGCCCCACCCAGGCTCCCGGTTGCATTGATCCCTGCAGCATCTGCCCCAGATTTCCAGAACTAAGTCCGGCTTTCCTGCTCCTGGCAGGTTCTGCAACTCCAACCCGCCCCCTGCTTTGACGTCATCCCGACATGTCATGACGGTGCTGTTTGTGGCCGATGAGGAGATTGTGGATGATGGGTTCTTTGCTGTCTATCGGGCCCACAATATGACTGAAAGTAGGTACTGGTGGCTCCGTGGAGGCTCAAGATGCAACTAGTCATCTGCTCCCACCTTGCCCCAAATAAGGGGGCAGACCTGGTCTGGAACTGGAAGCTAGGCCGGGTTAATGTAGGGACGGGCAGCTGTCCTGGGAAATAAACCAAAAGGAAACAAAGCCCCCCAAAATGCAGGAGGGGGTTGGGCTGAGGGAGAGGGACTGGCCCAAAGTCACCCAGCCGGCTTTCCTGCCCAAAGTGGGACTAGAACTCACCGTCTTCTGCTTTCTAGCCCGGGGCCTTCCCCACTAGACCAAACTGCAGTTGCCACCCCATGAGCAGTCTTGCCTGAGTGTTGTGCCACGCTGGTTTTCCCTTTTCCCATCAACAGAGGGGACTCAGCCAAGGGACATAACCGCTTCAGCCAAGCAGGGAAAGGCTCAGCTTCCTCCAGGTCTCCTGAGAAGCGCTGTGGTTGCTTGTTCACAAGCTCTGTTCCTTCTGAGATGGAATACAGTTTGGGTTTCTTGATTCCTGTAATTATTGTTCCATTTTCCCAGGCAAAATAAAAGGGCCTTCCGAGAAGGGAGAAACTCTCTCCCCCCCCCCCACATCCACAAGACTTGTGGGATTGTGTTTATATAAACAGAAAGTTGGCGTATCCATTAACTAACTGGATGGATGGATAGATGATGGTGCAAATGTTGCACAATCTCTGAAGGACAAAAGTCATCTCCAATTCTAAGCAGGCTTTTGAATTGATAGCACCATGTTCCTAACCTGCTTCCACACTGGAGCATCACCCCACCAGTGATAAAAAGCTTTTATTATATATTACCAAAAGGGATAGCTGAACAACACAATAAAATGGCACAAGTCATTAGCAAGCCAGTAGCTTAAATTGGTGTCCTCTTTGGTCTTCTTCTGAAGGCATGGCGCATTTCCTTCATTTCCTTTTTTTTTTTTTTAAGCAGTGCATATATGGACATCCTTTATAAACTATTAACCTAAGTGTTGGCAAGAAAGTCACAGCGCTCCTTCTTCAAGTGTTAAAGGTCTCGGCCACGTGGGCAGGTGATCCAGTTGGATAAAACATTTATCCTTCTGTGATTTGTTGCCTTGAATGTGGGTTTGCAAGATAAAAACATTAATTTTTAACTTTTCCCAATGGCTTCTTCCCTTGCAGGCGAGATTCTAAACCAGTGCTTCTCAATCTTGGGAGCTTTCAGATGTGTGGACTCCAACTCCCAGAATCCCCCAGCCAGCTCCCAAGGTTGAGAAACACTGTTAAGCAGTTAATGAATCATTCCTTGCAGGACCTCCTCTGAGATTAAGGAGGGGCAGTCTGGCGTCAATAGATCCATGACTTCAAATCCATGGATCTAAGTCAAGGACCAACGCTTGTGAAGGGTTTCCTGTCAGTGCTGGGCCAAAGAATTGTACTAATGCCATGCTTTGTGCCCGCACTGTCTGCATCCCATTTTTCCAGCTGCCCTGTTTTTTTTCAGGTGAAGGACTGAAGTGGCTAGCTTAGAGCAAGACATGAGAATAATCTGGCTTTGTTCTCCAGATGGTCTGAGAACCTCTGACTTCCACAGAGAAAGGCCAGAAATACAATGGGAACGGAACAGACCAGCTGCTGTTCTTCACCATCTTGAGAGTGCAGGGAACCCCTTACCCTAAATGCCACTCTCTTCTCTCTTCCCTGCCCACCCCCTGCGCAAGAAACGTGTGGGCCTTTAGAGTTTGTCTGCAGAAATGGCGAGTGCGTGGCCCAGGAGCTGGTGTGTGACAGCTGGAGGAACTGTCCAGATGGAAGCGATGAATTCAACTGCACCAGCATCTCTTCCACGTCGGTGGGTGAGTACCTGCCCTCCTGCATGGACCAAGTTCCCTTCATTGGCGAATTTGCAGAACTACGCATTGCAACATCCCCAGTTCAAACCCCACCTCTGATCTCAACTTACTAGATGGGTCAATTACATTCTCTTCCCCACTCTCCCCTCCGCCCCCAGCCAGCATCCTCCTTTCTCCTGCTTTCACCTGGCTGGCCCCAAACCTTGGATGCAGGAGAGCAGTGTTTCCCAACCTTAGCAACTTTAAGACGGGTGGACTTCAACTCCCAGAATTCCC